TGGGGAAAAAGATAAGGATATAATTACAGGAAGGATAATGAAGAAGCACAATAGAAAACATTCCTACTTTAGCATATAGTTCTAATTGTGATACATAAGGAAATGTGGACAGTTGAGCAGGGACTCTAAAACTTATCAAAAAGTATTCTGAATGGCAAAATACAAAGTAGCAAATAGAATCGTCAAAAACAAATTGAAAACTGAGCTTTAGCATAAATGAATAGAGGGGAATCACTTGCAGAAAGGTGAAGCAGTGAAATGGGCTCCTCCATCGAAGCAAGAACACTGGCATTAACTGTCAAAATCAACTTTAACAGCACTCTGAAAACTAAAGGCTTGCAATAATCTCAAGAGTGTGAATTTAAGAAAAACAGCCAAATATCAGTGAAAACAGCAAGATTTTAGAATTTAATTTTGCCTATTCCTATTATCCCCATGCCAACTCTGTGGTAGCCTTACAAGCCAAAAATCTCACAACAATGGTTGCTGTGAAAACTAGCAGCCTGGCAGTTACCAGACAGGGCAGAATGGTTCTAGAGCACCTCCAAACCCCAATCCCAAAGAAATGTCACTTTATGACCTGTTTAGTAGCTCCCTGAAAAGCTCTATTCCCAGGGCTCCTCTAAGATGTGACTCATAGCATGCTAAGTGAATGATTATATCCCTAAGGCATTTGTCATATGCAATTAATGGTAACTGTTTAACACTGCACCTGCCTTAGGTGGTGATATGAGTTGGGACTAGAGAAATTAATTTCCAGTTTGCCATATCATATAATCTCAAATATCTACTTATCAAAAAACTATGAAAGACGCAAGGAAAGAGGAAAATATGTTTTCCATAGGGGAGGTTAGTTAATAGAATTGCTCTTGAGAAAGCCCAGATGTTGGACTTACTAGATGAATATTTTAAATCAGCTGTTATAATATATTCAAAGACCTAAAGGAAACCTACTCTAAAGAATTAAGAAAAAGTATGAATGATACCTCACCAAACAAACAAACAAACAAACAAAAAACAATACAGAGACAGAATTTAAGAAAACAAGTGAAATTCTGTAGTTGAAAGTAAAATATTCACTAGAGGAACTCAAAAGTAGGTATAAACTGACAGAAGAATCAGTGAACCTGAAGATAAATAAATTAAGATTATTTAGTCTGAGGAACAGAAAGAAAATAGAATGAACAGAGCCTCAGAGAATTATACGATACCATCAAATGTAACAACACATGTGTAATGAGACTCCCAGAAGAAGAATCAAAGAAAGGGGGAAAACTGACCCCAACTCCCCAAATTTGATGGAAAACATTAATCTGCACATTGACAAGCTAATCAACTCCAAGTAGAATAGATTTAAAAAGATACATATCTAGACAAATCATGGTCAATGATTGAAAACCAAGGATAGAATCTCAAAAACAACAAGAATAAAACAACTCATCACACAGAAGTGATTCTCAGTAAGATTAACAGTAGATATCTCATCAAAAAATGTGAAGGCCAGAAGTTAGTGGGATAATGCTTATGATACTGTGTTGAGAGCAGACTCAACCAAGAATTCAAAACTATCCAAGAAACCATCCTTTTTTAAGAAAGAAAGGATCAGCAGTGTCCAGGGTTACTTAAAAAAAAAACAAAAAACAAAAGGTGAAATGAATACATTGCAAGGTAATTTATAATTCAGGGAGTTTGTTGCTTGCAGACCTGCTCTATAACAAAAAGTAAAGAGCACCAACATAAAGAAAAATTTTCATCAACGAATGGATCAAACAGCCGTTAACATCAAATGGCAGTAACCCTAAATTTAAATCAACTAAATCCCCCAATCAAAAGACACAGCCAAAACCCAAAGGCATGTTACATCCAGATCTGTTTCACATGCAAGGATACACAAAGACTCAAAACAAAGGGATGGAGAAAGATTTACCAACCAAATGGAGAGTAAAAATAAATAAATAAATAAATAAATAAATAAATAAATATAAAAAAAGCAGGAGTTGCAATTCTCGTAGCAGATAAAATAGATTTTAAAGCAACAAAGATATAGTGGTAAAAGGATCAATACAACAATAAGAGCTAACGATCCTAACACCCAGATACATAGAGACTTAGATTCAATGAGACAGAAAATTAATAAGGATATCAAGGACTTGAACTCAGATCCGGAACAAGTAAACTTAATAAATATTTATAGAGCTCTCCACTTCAAATACATAAAATATACATTCTTGTCAATACCACATCACACCTACTGATAGGTTTAAATGAAACATTGATTGAACATTATTAATACCCATTTTTTTTTCAGAATAAAGCAATATTTCTGTTCACCCTCCCTCTCTCTCTTCCTCTTTCTTTCTCTCCTTTACTCATTTTTTTTTTTCTTTCCTTCTCTCAAAAAAAGAAATCAACTTGTAAACCTCTAGATCCAGGTCGGCAATTCCTTCCCTTCCCTCCCTCCCTCCCCCCCTTCCTCCCTTCCTTCCTTCATCCCTTCCTTCCTCCCTCCCTTCCTCCTTCCCTCCCTTCCTGACTTCCTCCCTTCCTCCTTCCCTCCCTAAAAAGAAGAAAAGAAAAAAAAAAAAAAAAAGAAAACGAACGGAAGTCCTTCAGGCTGAAATGAAAGGGCACTTTTCATTTTCGAGAGTAACTGAAATCCATGGAAAGAAATAAAGAACACTGATATAGGTAACTACATAAAATATAAAAAACAGTACATACATTTTGTTTGTAATTCTTTTTTATCCATCTAACTAAAAAAGTAACTTTGTAAAAATAGTTATAAAATAAGTCGGTGGGCTTAAAATATATAAATATGTAATTTGTATGAGAAGAATAGCACAAAGAAAGCAGAAGGGAAAAAAACTATCTTAGAGCAAAGTTTTTATATACTATTGAAATTAACCTGGTTTTACTCCAAACTAGACTGTTTTAAGATGTTAACTGTAATTCTAATGGTAAATATGACAAAGAAAAAACCTCAAGAAAATATACTATAGGGAAAAGAAAATTACAATTATATAGCAAAAAATACTAATTTAACCCCCAAAAGTGAGTAATGGTAGAACAAAGGAAAAACAACAATAAAAATACATCAGTTAAATAAAACTCCAAAATCAAATTGTAGACATCATCCTATCTTATCAGTAATTTCATTAAGTGTAAATAGATTAAACACTATAAGTCAAAAGCAGAGATTATCAGAATGGATAGAATAAATCCAATTACAAGCTATGTACAAGAGGAATACTTCAGATATAAGGACACAAAACTGTTGAAAAGAATGGAAAAAGACATACCATGCAAATGCAAATCAAAAAAGAACTGCAGTGGCTATTCTAACATCAGGCAAAACAGACTTTAAGACAAAAACTCACTAGAGACATAGAAAGCCATTTTATAATAATAAACAGGTCAACCAATCAGGAAGACTTAAAAAGTGTAAACATATAAGTGCTTAATACAGTCTCAGAATATAAAAGGCACATCAACAGAACTGAGGGGTGAAACAGACAATTCAAAATCAACAGTTAGAGACTTCAACACCCTAAGTTGCCATAATGGATAGATCTAGGCAGAAGATCAACAAAAAAGAGAAGATTTAATCAATGCTGTAAGCAATGAGACCTAACAGGTCTACAGGACACTTCACTTAACAAAAGCAGAATACATGTTCTTCTTGAGTGTACGTAGAACATTCTCTAGGAGACAATATGTTAGGCCCCAAAATAAAACTTATTTAAATAAATAAATTTAACAAAATGGAAAGCATTGACAGTATGTTCTCCAACCACAATAAACTGAAAAAGCAGTCATTCACAGAAAATTTCAAAATGTGTGGAAAGTAAACAATATACTCCAAATAACCACTGGGTCCAAAAATAAAACACAAGGAAATTACAAGAGAATAACTGAAAAGAAAAACACAATATACCAATATGTATGGGGTGTAGACAAAGCAGTGATTTGATGAAATTTTATAGCTGTAAATGTTTTTAGTTTGATAAAAAAAAAATATCAAGCGAATATTTTTACTCTATACCTTAAAGATTAGAAAACAAAAATTAAACCAAAAGGAAGCAGAGGGGAAAAAATAAGAGTGAAAATAAAGAAAACAACAAATGGAAAATAGTAGAGAAAATTAGTGAAATAAAAATTGTTTCTCTGAAAGATCAAGAAAATTGACAAAACTTTAAATAGACTGACCAAGGTGGAAAAAACAAAAGGTAAGATCCAAATTAATAAAATCAGGAATGAAAGAGGGAGCATCACTTTAGGGAAATAAAATGGATTATAAGAAAGTGAACTATCAATTGTATGTTAACAAATTAAACAGCTTATTTGAAAGGAACAAAATCCTAGAAAGACACCACTTAAAAGTGAAGAAGAGAGAAAATGTGTATAGGCCTATAACAATAAAGAGATTAAATCAATAATCAAAAACTGGCCAGAATGCATTGTAGGTGAACTGTACCAAATGTTTAATGAAATGCCAATCTTTCAAAAACTTCCCTAAAATAAGAGAGAAATGAATAATTTCTAATTCATTCCAAGGGATCAGTATTACCATGATCCCAAAACCAGACAAGAAAATTATACATCAATGTCCCTTATGAATACTGATGCAAAACCCTTAACAAAATGCTAATAAACAGAATCAACAACAAATGACAAAGATTATATTATACATTATGGCAAGTGGGATTTATCACGGGAATGACAGGTTGGCTTAACATATGAAAATCTACCAATGTAAAAGACCACATTAATAGCATTAAGGGTAAGATCCACAGAATAAAGTCAGTAGATATGCAAAAGCATTTAACAAAACTTAACATCCTTTCCTAATAAAAACACTCAACAAAGTAAGAATGCAAGGAAATGTCTTCAACCTGATAAAGGCTACACACATACACACACACGTACACACACACACACACACACACACACACAAAAGCATAGCTAACCTCATAATTGATGGTGAAAGACTGAAAGTTTACCTTCTAAGATTAGGAAAAAGACAGGGACCTTCATTCTCACCACTTCAACATTGTACTGGAGGTTCTAACTGGAAAAATTAGGCAAGAAAAGAAAACAAGGCACCCAGATTGGAAAGGAGAAGTAAAACTATCTCTATTAGCAGAATATGCAGACAATTTCAAAGAACTGACCCCTGCTCCACAAAAAAGAAATCTAAAAAAAAACAAACAAACCCAGAAGAACCTGTTAGAACTAATAAACAAATTCAAAAAGGTCACAGGATACATGACCAATATACAAAACCACTTACCTTTCTATATCCAAGCAATGAACATCTTTACCTGAGTAATGAACAATCTAAATATAAAACCAATTCCGTTTGCAATGGCACAAAAATAAATTTAACAAATAAACACTAAGACATATACACTGAAAACCACAAAACACCATTGAAAAAAACTTAGACCTAAATAAATGAAAAGACCCATGCTAAAAGACTAGGAAGATTTAATGTTTTCACAATTTAATCTATGAATTCCATGCAGTTTTTTTCTTTTTTTAAAAAGAAAAAAAAAAAAGCTGAGAAGGTGATCCTATGGAAATGCAAGGGATCTAGAAGAGCCAAAACAATCTAGAAAAAGAACAAGGTTGGAGGTCATACCCTGATTTTAAAACTTCTCCAGAGGTACAGTAATTAAAACAGTGTAATGCTGACTGTAGAACAGGCGTGTGTATGGATCAATGCAAAAAAATTCAGAGTCCAAATATAAACTCTTACATTTTTGGTCAACTGATTTTCAACAAGGGTGCCAAGATCATTAAATGGAAAAACAAAACATTTAGCTATTGTTTTTTCAACAATAGCTAAATGCAAAAGAATGAAGTTGGATCCTTAACTCATACCGTCTATAAAAATAAAGTCAAACTGGATTATAGAGCTTAAAGGTAAGCAAAATATATAAAACCCTCATAAGAAAATTTGAGAGTCAATCTTCAGATCAGGCAGTTTCTTAGACATAACATCATAGGTAAAAGTGACAAAATAAACAAGCAAACTGAACTTTATCAAAATCTAAAAAATGTTGTGTGTCAAAGAATATGATCAAGAGAGAGAAAAGACAACCTACAGAATGGAAGAAAATACTTGCAAATTATATACAGTCAACCTTCAGTACCCTTGGAGGATTGGTTCCAGGAACCACCCTGGATATCAAAATCTGCGGATGTTCAAGTCCCTTGTATAAAATAGTATTTGCATACAACTTACACAATCCTTGAATATACTTTAATTAATCTCCAGATTACTTATAATACCTAATACAATGTCAATGCCATGTAAATAGTTGTTATACTATTTTTTGTTTATACTATTTTTCTTTTCACATTGTTACTTTTTGCAAATATTTTCCATTTGTAGTTGGTTGAATCTGTGATTGCAGAACCTACAAATACAGAGGGCTGAATGTATCTAGTAAGAGACTTGTATCCAGACTATCCAAGTAATTCTTACAAGTCAATAATAAACAGGTTAACTTAATTAGATAAAGATAACATAAATATATTTACATCAAATGTATATATTTTATAAAATTTTACAGTTTATTTTTATATACTACATAGGTATATTTATATACTATATGCCTGGCACATATTAGATACTCGATAAGAGTTAGGTAGAATTTTTATTAAATTCCCAAGTTATTTGAATATTAACAAGGAATGATGTTTTCTGTAGAATGCCTACAGCTATGTGACCATATTTTCCAAACCAAATATAAACTGAATATAGATTTGTTAACTTCAACCCTCCCTTTTTCTTTCTTTCCCTCCCTCCCTTCCTTCCTTCCTTTTTTCTTTCTTTTCCATTTTTGTTTTTGAATTAGAGGAGAATCCATAGAGTAATGTGAAAGCAAGTTTATTAGGAAACTACAGAAATAAAGAATGTCTAGTCCATAGGCAGAGGAAGCCTACTTCAATTCCATTTCTGAAAACCAAAAATTATTTCTAGGTTTGGTAAGATAAGTTCTGAGTAACACACACATACACACACACACAAATCTAGTTTACATAATTATATAATAAAACATAATTATAATTTATGCAATTAGAAAATGAACAAAGAATCTGAATTAGACATTTCTCCAAAGAAGATATACAAATGTCACTTCAGAAGATGCTCACATTGTTGTCATTGGGAAATGCAAATGAAAATCATGAGGTATCACTTCCCATCCACTAGGATAGCTATAACAAAAAAATCAGTCACAAATTAGGATGTGGAGAAGTTGCAACTCCCATTCATGTAGTGGGATTGTAAAGTGGTTCAGTTGCTTTGGAAAACAGTTTGCCAGTTCCTCAAAAGGCTAAACGGAGTTACCATATGATGTAGCAATTCTACTCCTAAATATATACCCTAGAGAACTGAAAACTTATGTCCATGCAAAAACCTGAACATGAATGCTCACAGAATAATATTCATGATAGCTAAAAATGGAAGCAACCCAAATGTCCATGGGTGAATTAATAGATAAAAAATGTGGCATATCTATATACTAGATATTATTTTTGATCATCAGAAGGAATGAAATTCTGATGCATGCAACAACATGGATTAACCTTGAAAACATTATGCTAAGTAAAAACAGCCAGACACAAAAGGCTGCACAGTGTATTTATATAAAACATCCAGAATAGGTAAACCCATAGAGATGGAAAGTTGATTAGTAGTTGTTAGGGGAGAATAAGTGGAAGGGATCATTGCTAATCAGTATGGGATTTCTTTTAGGGAGCAATGAATGTTTTAAAATTAGATAGAAGTGGTGGCTGCATAACTCTAAAAATATATTAAAACTCTCTGAATGGTACACTTTAAAAGGGTGCATTTTATGCCATGTGAATTATATACAAATAAAGCTGTTAGAAAAAAAGAACATCATGGAAATGATTGTTAAAGGAAGTATAGTTGGTTATGACAAATAAAGCAAGAGTGTGAGCAAAAATACAGAGAAGGAGACCATAACTCTCCATGTCAGAGAAGACAACCTTGATCCTGGCCATGGAAACGGACAAAAGAGGTTAGACTATGGAAATACAACCAAGGGAGAAAGCAACGAACCAGCTTAACTTAACATAGTGAACCAGGGTGTTGTGCATAAGACCAAATGGCTGGTAGTACCAATGACAAAAAACTAAAGTGGAAAGGCCCCTTGAAGGTTCTGGGGAAGACGGGAGTTTTACTGAGCTGTGCTTATTTTTAGGTTCTTTAAATTACCAAATAGTAACAGTATGGATTATAAAGATTTTTTTTCTAGTAAAATGGAGAAAGAAAAGAATTAAGATTAGTATATCAACTGGACAGTTTTTCATGCTTGAACATTAGCTGAAAGGTGTGTACAGTGAGCTTACCAAGTAGATCTCAAGGAAGAGGTGAAACAGCCCCATCACCTCATTCTTGGGTGATACTTATAATCACCTTCTCATTCCTTCACTCCTTTTCTTCAAGCAGCTGTGTGTGGCATGTGGGTAGCGGAGTTTGAAGTGTAGCAGGTGTTTGTAATTTCCTTTCTCAAGGTCACAGGTGACTCTGCCAGTGCACTACAAAAACCACAGCTTCTGGGCCCCTTTCTTCCCACCAAACCTCAAGATCCCCTTCTCACATCCAGATTACTCTGCTACTTACATATCTTTAACCCAATCCACAGCTATTAGAACTGAAGTGCCCCCCTTCCCAGGAAATTGACTAAGATTCTATCCACTAACCTCAAATCGTTATCTGTTTGAAACTTCTTTGTGGGTTGATGGAATGTTTTCCAAGAAATGTTTTAGAAGTTGGCTCTCTGAGATAACTTCCATGGTGGATTTATTAAGGAGAAATCCAGGTCGTCGTGCTCTTTTTAGCTGTCATTCTGGTCAGCCTATCTAGCGTGTCTGTTGTCTCTGACCTTCATTACCACCCTCCCTGCCTAATCCCATTGAAAGTTACAGTTATGCTACAAAGATAAGAAGAGATAATATAGAGTATGTAGCAGGGCTTTAAAAAATATACATTGTTTCATACATGTTAACTGCTGTTATTTACTACCTAAACTGCTCTCAATTTTCACAAAATTTGCCTTATGCCACTGAATGACATTAGAGTTTAATGGTTTATTCACATAAACTTATTCTGCTTTTAGAGAGTTAATATTTTTGGCTCATTTATCATAATGAATTAACATATTAAATCTGTTTCTAGAAGACATGTAAAAGACCTTTTGTCTCAGTCTTCCAGTTGGCAAATGGTAATAATAATAATAATAATAATAATAATTTACCTCATAGAATTCTTATGACATTCAAGTGAGACCATCTGCATAAGACACTTTGCACAGTGCATAGTAGGTGCCCAATAAATATTAGGTACAATTATTATTCAGTTTCTGAAGTTCTTCAAATCATCACAAAGGAAAGGTGTTTTGTCGTAAAATATTTCTGTAGAATACCCACAGCTATAAACGGGATCATATTTTCTAAATCAAATGCATATCTACTAAATGGAATTCTTCTGCTGAAAACCAGGGTTTATTTTCAGATTTGGTAAAAATAAGTGCTGAATCCAAAAAGTGCTCCCAGAGAAGTCTGTGTATGTTGCCATAAGATAGTACCAGCCAGAGATACGCTGACAAGAAAACCTGATGAAGTTTGATTTAAAATACAGAATAAGAAGGGTTTCTCCCCCTTCTAGGGATTTATCTTACTTAATCTCTATTCATCTAGCTAATCTGTGACCCAATTAATAGTTATACCAAGTGTGCCTGTGTTAGTGACTGCTGTGGGGCTATCTCTGTTAAAGACTATCACTGCTGGGGACACTGAGATGATGACAGGATAGAGTATCACAAGAAGATGAAACCTGGTGAACTCGCATGTTTATCATGGCAAATAAACACTCTATGGAACATATTAGTGGGGCAGATAGTAGATGTCCATCTAGGCAGGAAAAACATGGCACTAGTAGTGTGATAACCTTTGATTAAATTTCTCCCCAAATAGAAAGTAGCACTTCACAATAATATGTGTTAAATTTTTTCTTTTCTAAATAATTGTTTCCTTCATTTCATGGCATGTTAACTCAAGGTTTGCCTCCTGCTAGTGACTATATTACTGCTTCCTTAGAGTGATCAAATTTTATTTACCTTTTGGGGAAAAAAAATTATAAGTAACTTAATCTTACTTTAAAAGACATGCAGTAAACACTTTGTCAAAGCACAATACAACACTGATATTACCATTAAGTAACAACACTTCCCAAGCAAAATGACTTAAAAATAAAAACTTAAATTGACTGCAGGAAAATAAATTGTTGCCATTTTGATTTTGTGCACTGCTTAATATTTTTCTAATGTTTTTGAATAAAGAAAAACTTATATGAGGCATTATAAAACTTATCAATGTTACAAAGTTTGGAAGAACACTATTACCATAGTTGAAAAAAATCAAGATTCAAAGCAATTTTGACAAGCAGGGTAGTGAGCCAAAAATGAATCTATGAAATACAGTAAAAATACATGGTGAATTTTGCACTTATGGTTAAATAGTAATAGCTAATGGCTGAGAGATTACTGTTTGTTAGACATGGTACTTAATACTTGAAACAACAGAATAATATTGACAAGGTAGACACCACTATCATCTTCTTTCCAGATATAAGGATAATGAGGCACTAATATATAAATAATGAGAAGATTTGTCTAGATAGCATTATCTTTAAAACATCAAGGAGTAATGGTAGGTCACAATTCAGTAACAAAATATCCAGACAATAGAAACCAGTAATACCACCACATTTTTTGTATCATAATTGGAACATCAAGTCCAGTTCTGGATGCCACTTTTCTGAGAAACATAAATATACTGGAAAGGAATCAATATTAAGAGAAGTAAAAAAAGAAAGAAGGACATAGCCTAAAAAAGAGAAGAACAAGATGAAACTGATGTCCTCAAACATTTTAAGAGCTATATTTACGTAAGAGGAAACTGATTTGTACTACAATGATCTAAATGTAGAGCAGAGCTAATTATTTATAGCAAAGAATAAAACTTAATTAATGAACACAGTTTTCTTAACATAGAACTAGCTTTTATATTTTCCAGAAAAGAATGCATCCACAAGTAAAGGTACTCTTTCTTTAGTAACTGGTGATGCCTTCTTTTCACATGCTGAAGTTAAATAACTAGAAATGTATAGAGACTAGAAATGTCTCAATACTCTTACCACAATATCCCATTGTTAGTAGATAACACAATCTTTGAAAAACTCTTGATGGAAATCTCAGTAACTTCAGAGGCTTTTAGGTAACATGTTAGGTAAAGAGAAAATAACTTCTTGGCTCTATATTTACTATGTGTGTGATCCTAGGGAAGCCTCTCTTCACTTTTCAGTGCCTCAGTTTCAAATTTATAAAATGGGAATAATAATATCTACAAAATAGCATTATGCAGATTAAAAGAAAGTAGACATAAAGACATCAGAACTATATACGGGTAACACAGTAAGTGTTCAGTACATGTAAGCCTTTATCATATCATTAATGTTCACAACAAAGCACCACTAAGTTTAATAATTTTTTATGTCACCAATGCTGCACTGCAGGGTGCGACCATAGTTTATTGCAGTCTTGAACTCCTGGGATCATGTGATCCTTCTGCCTCAGTCTCCAGAGTGGCTGAGACAACAAGTGCGTGCCACTGCACTTGGCTAGTTTAAAAAAAAAGTTGTTTTTAAGAGATGGGGTCTTGCTATATTGTCCAGGCCAGCCTTGAACTCTTGGCCTCAAGTGATCCTCCTGCCTTGGCCTCTCAGAATGCTGGGATTACAGGCATGTGCCACTGTACCTGGCCCTTTCTCTTATATTAGAAAAAATAGTGAGGGTATATGAAATGAATAAAAAAGATTACTGGGTGTTCATTCAACAGAACACTAGGCAGCCTGACCAGTGCCCTCCCTCTTTCACACCATATACTATACATGTTCTCCAACCCACCTGCTGGCTAAATTGCACAGATATCTGGATCCCACATCCCACTGCTTAGCACTGTTTATCAAGCATTGGGTTTATGAAGCTGGAGAGACGGGGCCCTATAGCAAAGAGACTTAGATTCTAATCTACGGACAACAACTAACCTATGCCCACTTATTAAGCAGCATGAAGTTTTCAACAAAAATGGTGGTGGGTGTTAATTGCCACATGCATAACATAGGGAAGTAAATTCTAACTGAATCCTAAGAATGAATGAAATGATAAGTGAGCATTCAAAGGATGACTACAAAAGATCTGCTTCAGTTTTCTGCTCTAATGTATTGTCTTTGAGCAATAAGAGCAGCTGAAAAAGATTCATAGAACATTAGAACCAAAAGTTGACTTTAAGATCAATTTCTTCAACTTTCCTCATTTTACTAATTAGAAAAATAAGTCCCATGGTAAGAGACCTTGCCACAACTGACCTACTCTACTCCTTTGTCAAATGCTAAAACCCAGTTTGCATCTTTCTCCTGCCTCATTCATATTGCTGGCTCTTTCTTTCCATCTGAGAAATACTTAGTTTGAATGGAATACTGTTGTACAATTACCTAAACTTTACTTTCTACTTTTACAGAACACAAAAAGAAATATTTATTTCACGTTCTACATAGGTTTATCTCATGGCATCCTTTTGGCAAAATGTTTTCTTTTCTGAAATAAATCAGTAACATATAAACAAGACTAAATTAATTGCTATTTTATTTTCCATCTCCTGTCATGAAGGGCCTCTTGAATTGCTTCTGATTCATCATGCCTCCTAGTGTGACCATCCAGCTTCCTTTCTGGGCCCTGCTCTCATTCTCACCGAGGTAGCATTAAAAACTCCCTCCAGCTGGGTACCATGGCTCAAATCTATAATCCCAGCACTTCGGGAGGCCAAGGTGGGTGGATCACGAGGTCAGGAGTTTGAGACCAGCCTGGCTAACATGGTGAAACCCTGTCTCTACTAAAAATACAAAAATTAGCTGGACATGGTGGTGGGCGCCTGTAATCCCGTTACTTGGGAGGCTGAGGCAGCAGAATTGTTTGAACCTAGCAGGCAGAGGTTGCAGTGAGCTGAGATTGTGCCACTGCACTCAGCCTGGGCGACAGGGCTAGACTCTGTCTAAAAAATAAATAAATAAATAAAAACAACAACAACAAAATACAACTCCCTCCATTTCCATACTCACGTTGGTTTCTGAGATTCTACATTATCCCTGATCTCCTGCTTGCCTTTCTACCATTTATTTTCTTTGAGGGCTCTTCTTCCAACTTTTAAAATATGAACCACATCCAGGCTGGCTCTCTGTTCTTATTTATTCTTATAGTTTCACCACATATACAATTATTCACTTAAGCAGTATCTAATGAAGGACTATAAATAGTGGTGAGTAAGATGGACATGGTTCATGCTGTCATGGAACGTACACCCAATTGAGGAAGACCAGATAAGAAAAGAAATAAAAAAATCCAAATTGGGATAACTGTTAAGAAATAAAAAGAAGGTATAATAATAAAGACTTAACGGGGGAAAATCTACTTCAGATAGAGTGGTGAAGGAAAGTCTTTTGAAAAGTTAACCTTTACCTGGGATGTAAAGAAAAAGCTTATTATGCAAAAGGTTGTGTAGATTCAGGAGCAGAGAGAACAAATGTTTGAAGGCCTATGGGCGAGTGGGAGAAAGTCTGGTTGTGCTCAAGAAACTCAGAACAGAGGGTAACATAGGATGATGCTGAAGAGACAGGCAGAGAGCAGATCATGCAAGGCCCTATCTGCCGTAGGAAAGGGTTTGGATTTTATCCTAAACATAAGGAAAAGTTATTGAAGGTGTTAAGTAGGAGGTTAACTTATTCTGACTTACATTCCTAAAAGACCACTTTGGCTGTCATGACTTATCGAATTGATGAATAAGGTGATCATACATTTAGGGTTGCCCCAGATAGTCCCAGTTCATGCCTACTGTCCTGGTGTAACTGAACTTCTGCATTGATTCAGGGAAGAGTCACAATACGCAATAAACAAATACAGACATAAAACAACAACAACAAAAGAAAAGAAAACAAAATGAATGAAGAAAGAAAACTGATAAGACACAAGCAAGCTGTGGGAGGCAATATTCATTAGACTCCCTTGTTCTTAATCTCCCTGACCTAACTGGGACCCTTGGGTCCTTCCTTTGATTCTTGACCTAGTTTTACTTCTCAAGCCTGAAATATTAAATAATATTCAGCAGCTGGTGTACAGAAATATATCAAGTGAGGTCCCATTTGCATTAATTCGCTTATTCCTCGTAACAATCCACGAGGTAGGTATTATCATTTACAGATGAGCAAACTGAAGCACAAAGGGGTAAAGAAATGTGACTAAAGACAAACACAGCCAAAGAATCAGGACTTAATGCCAGGTAATTTGGTTCTGGAGTCAGGTGTTCTTTATCTAACACTGCTTCTCATAGCCATATTCAGGAACTGCAAGTAGCTCAGAGTGGCCAGAGTGAGTAGTGGGGACAGACTGGAGATAAGTTTAGAAAAGTAGCAAAAGAGTTTCAAATGATATGCAAAACAACTAAAGTTTCATCTGGTAGGTGATGGGGTACATCACAGGATCTTAAATACATGATCATATTTGTGCTTTGGAAAAACAGCTCTGTGGAATAGATTTGGGAGGTGGGTAGGAGGAGAATGGTTCCGGACTCAGCTTTTTCTAAAGACTCTGGACCTGCACCTCCTTCCTGGATGGGGCCTTTGGATACCAATTGTGAAGAACCTGCATGCAGCGATAATACATGACTTCCCACAACCTAGGCCTGGGCCTTCCAATGATGAGATCTCCCTCTTGAACTACAACTTTCCTTTGAGTCCCTTTCATCAGCTCTCATCTCCAAGTCTTTTTTATAAGCATACCTCTATTTCCATTTCCACACTGATTCTTTTAGTCCCCTTATTTAAATCCTTGTCACCACAAACGTAGACTTCTGTAGCTTCACAGCTCAGTTACCATCTTCCTATCACCACCACCAGCAATTTCATGAGCTGCTTTTATTTTAATCCTTTTAAAACATTACTCCCTTGTTCATATTATTCTCATGATCAAATGCCTTACTATTGCTTATACAGATAGTCTTAACTGTTAATCTAACATTCAAGGATCTTTATAAGTCATGCCCAAATCACATTTTCTAATCTTCCACTATCTCATTTACTCTGCTGCAGTCAAACTGTCTACCCATCTATAAACTGTGTGTATACAGTGTGTCCTTCTTCTATGATCTTTGGTCATACGGTTACTCTGGTCTAGCATATTCTATTCTTTTAAAAATTCCATCCTTTCAAGATCTGGTTTAGCACTTTTCAATGCTAAACAGCCTTCCCAAACCACTCCAGTACTGGGAATTCCTATAGCACTGAAAGCCTTACACCATATTCCTATACTTGGGCACAAACTGCCTCGGTGACATGATATTACTTCTGTTACTGCTCTGAATTTTTTATTCATTTCATATATTAGGATTTAGCTGTTTACAGGTCACTTTTCTAATGACATCAAGAACTACTCAAAGACACATTATATAGGTATATATATAATATATATTTAAAGACCTATAAAACCATGTTTTATACTTTTTTTTTTTGATATTTCTACTTTTCCCATAGTACTTCCATACCTCCCAGTGCTTGGTATGGTACAATCCTATGTATATTGTATACTTAATGTTTCCTGATTATTTAGAAAATTCAATTTATGCTGCTATTACATCTTCCAGTAATATAACATTTTCAGAATTTTAAGTTTTTCAGGTAGAAAAGTTTCACAAAACCAAATGAGAAATGGAGAAAAAAAAGTCTAAGAAAAACACAAATGCCAGTGGAGTATGCCAACAGGAAAAAAATCAACACAAATTTCATAATTTATAATGTTTGGAGAAATAAACTGATGTGCAGATACTTAAAAAATGTTATATTATGGAAAACTACAAGTGGTTGTTAAAGAGAACCTATTTTGCATTTATATTTGAATTTCAATAGAACTGCTTTGAATTGCTACTTTATTGATAAGTGAAAACAAGTTCTTTTATGACAAGTTATAAAAGCTTATAGTTTATCATTTCCCTCTCCACCCTGCAATTACCTACAGGAAGAGACTGGCCATGGATTCTATTTTATGAGTTTTATAGGGACCCATTCACCCCAGTTTACATACTATGAATTCTTGGAAAATGCAATAGATTGTAGAAAATAAAGTGCTTCCTTTGAAAAATGGACATTTCACTTGAACTCATATATATATATATCTACATATAAGCTGTCCCGAATATTATGTTAAAATATGAAATAGCCATATATTTCATGAATATATGTATAAAGTATGCAAAAGTGTAACAGTGCACTAGGTAGTATATGTATAAAGTATGCAAAAGTGTAACAGTGCAATAGGTAGCAATCTTGTGAATCTAGAGAATGGGCTAAACAATGATAACAATCTAACAACAATAACAACCCAACAGTTGTTGAGTGAGTACAGATATCATATAACCTAAGAGACAGGATAAAATTTAATTTGTATGATTCAGATCAGTATATTTACGAATAAGTTTAGTGTTAAGGGCAAACAACATTACAAATATCTCAGAAATATTTCAGAATAACAAAATAAGTCCAAAACATATTAAAGTTTACTACTGATGAAAAATCATGTGACGAAAATTCATTCAGCCCTTAGAAAACTTGAAGGGTAACTGCAGAAGGAATAAATTAATAGCTTTTAAAATTGGTCTTATAAATATGAAGCATAATGAATCAAAATTTAAATTTTCAATCAGGTTAGGATGTTTTAAATTCTAATAATTAAAGGAATACTTAAGACAAATGGCAAGTGTTTCATCGTTTGTGTAATACTGATGAGACACTCTGAATTTTATTTCAACCTGTTGTAATAGATGTGTAGGCTTCTGTGAAAATGCAAGCTATAATTTTATATACTGCCCCCAAATCCCTGTACCAGGGGTTACAGGGTCACTGAATAAAAATTAAAAATATTAATATTAGTGTTACAAGTTTGGAATGTAGGAGCTTTAGTAAAAGTTAAGTTATTCATTCAAATAGCTCATATTGATGTCATTTGAATTTTATCATATTAGTTTTCACTGGAAGAAATTCAAAAACAATACTCCTCAAGATGCTAAAAATTATATATTCAGTATGGCTTATCATGTTTCAATGCCTTTTACATGTATATTAATTCTGCCAGAAAATATGAAAAGCTATGGGATTTGCCATGGATATGACTGTACACTGAAAGGCAGGTAGGTATGTCTTAACTATGTTCCTGGGGGAATACCTCCTTATCTAGTTGCCATTTCTCTTTGATTTGCAAATAAGTCCTTCATTTAAAGTAAATATGGGACTCAAACTTGTGCTGACTTAACAATTAACTAACTTTACACCTGCCTTTTAGGGTTCAGACAATAACCTCTGATTAATCTGGGGCTGATATTATCCTTAACTTACTGTAGGCTATAAGCAGGTGCAGAGGGACTAATTCTTAAAGTGGCATGATGTAAGTCTTTATAATCTCATATGATTATTTCATGTCTTATTTACTCTTTCTATTATCAATAGTACAATGTCTGAATGAATATCATTCAAGACAAAAATTAGTGAAATAAATCCACACATTTAACCATCAAATCTGACCTAGGAAATTAGATATAAAGAAAATAAAGCAATATTTATAACATATGAGCAGGCCACATAGGTTACTTACAGAAGAGAATGACTATCAGTCTGATGTCCAATGTCTCTTCCGCAATACTAAATGCCAGAATGCAAAGATAATCAATTTCTGCAATGTTTTGAGGGAAAAGGTATGTTCAAGTAAATAAAAATCTTGGCAAGCTGTCTAATAGTAAAGGCAACTGACAAGTATTAAAATGTAATTTAAATAATAATAACTCAGATAGTTCACTTCTCATGTTCTAATTCTTGAAAAAAAACCTAGAAAATGTACTCTGAGGTATGAATAAAATCAAGAGCTGAGCATGCTACAAAAATTAAGTGGTTATAAACAGTTAAAAATAGAGGTTTGATTCTTTTTAATGAAGGGCATGGTAATGCCATATGGAGATTTTTTTTTTTTTTTTTTAGTTTCCATCAAAGGCATCTCAAAAACAAATGTGGGATATTTGTAAGAAAGAAAAAAATCTCAAACAAAAAAAAAATCAAAGTTCATGTAATAAATGAAAAATAAAAAGAGAGTGAGAGGTGACATGGAACAAAGGGACAGAGGTGGTTTTGTTCTCAGGCTGATCTTTATTTATTGAAGAAACACTGCATTCTATTATAGCACTATAGAATCAAACTCAAGTTTGATTGACCATAGCCATATGTTTACTGAAAACTTCATTCAGAATCCCAACTTGGAATGTTAAGAAACATCTTTCCTTTTGAAAACAGGTCTGATAAATTCTCATTTGCTAATTTCCCTCACCTGCTTAATGGCTGCAACTAGCATCTAGCACTCCCCTAGAACCGCCATTCATAGCAGTACTTGGAGTAAGGGGGATGTGGGCATGAAAATGGGTAAAGAAGCAAGCTGGCAATTGGGAGTTAGGCCTGGGGTCGAGAAGCCACTCAGGGTCCCAGCCTCAGCTATTCTAAAATCCTGGCCCTCTCCTTTTCTGTTTTTTTCTCAGGCTCCAGTAGAGACTCAAATCATGGTATCGTTTCTTTTTGGGTCAGTAGAATACGAAGTGTGGGGTTACAAATATCCCACTTTGATAAATTTTTAGAGAGACTCCTTTTTTTCCTCCCTATCTTAGACATTTTCTTCTCTTAAGCCCTTTAAAGAAAATAAGAGAATATTGGTTCAAGGATGGAAATTAAGTAAAATTACATTTCTGTGAAAATCAGGCTTTTCCTGTCCCAATCTGGGACCAGAGGGCACTGGGTAATAATAATGAGCAGACTTGTGATTCTATTTAGAGGTTATGGAGAAAGGGCAAAGATTAAGTGTTGGCAAGCTGTGGGACTGTTGGGGAGACAGGCAGTAATATCCTTAGTTTACAGTAGAGACACAGAAAAAGACAAGCAGCTAGTTCTTCCTCAGAAAAACACATTAAAAAGGACTGAGTATATTATTCAGATACATTAAAATAATAAATTTTTCTTAATTGCCATTCCTTAATTTTTTAATACTAAGGAATAAAATTTATATAATGCTATGGCTATTCTTTTAGCATACTTACTAAAGGATAACTGAAACATACATACTACAGTCAAGTACTTTTTAAGGATTATGCTAATTCCTCATGTACTGGTCTTTTCTGGAGTCCCACATATTAAGTTATCAAATATCTTAAATCAATAAGTGGGATTTGTTACAAATAGAAAAGAGTTAATTTGCTACTAAGGCATATGTTAACCATGAACACAATTCAAATACTTTAATATTATCTTTCTTTTCTTAAAATTGGTACAGTTTGAATATCCCTAATCCAAAAACCTAAAATCTGGAAGGCTCCAAAATCCGAAACTTTAGAAGCAATGACATGACTTTCAAAAAAAATGCTCACTGGAGCATTTTGGATTTCTAATTTTTGGCTCAGGTATGTAGGAAATGCAACACAAATGTTCCAAAATTTGAAAAAGACCAAAATCCAAAATGCTATTGGTCCCAAGGATTTTGGATAAGGGATACTCAGCCTCTATATTACTGAATCTTTCTCACAACATGAAATGAAGAATCACAGGAAGTACGTGGAAGACTTCTGAATACAAAGGATAAGAAATAAGAGTAGAATTAGGGAATGTACAGTATATTTTATATTATCTTATGAGTTGTTCGACACCAAACTAGCAACTAATATGTTTCACATAAATATTACATTCCGAGACTAAAAGGGAAATCTAATTCTCTTCTTTCTATTAATACAATTAAAAAATATAGTAAATAGATGCTATCATTGTTAAATGCCTTTTGTTGTTTCATAGTAATAGAAGACGAATAAAAGATAAAACTTCAGTTCTATAATAATAAAACAAAGTAACCTATAAGAGAAATGAAGCATAATGGCCTTTTTTTCACTATTATAAAACATTCACTTTAAATAATCATGCTAGTGCACAAAATAACATTCATTTTTAGAAGAGCTAACTCAATTTGCATAAATATTTATATTACTTTATCAAATCTACAAATTATTTCTAAGTTAACAATATTAATATGAACAAATCTTGCAGGGATATGACTTTTGGCAAAAGAGAGGTTGTAAGAGTGTTCTACAATGGCATTGTGAGTGACTACAACCAGTATAATTCTGTAGTTTCTTAACACTTAACAATTCAGCAATAGACTGTCTTACCGTTGGTGCTGTATCTACCTGATGGTTAGAAGGCTTTCTTTCTATGCTGATAACCCCTGTGGAAAGAAAACATTGTGAATATTTGGTTATTAAGCTTGTCCATTTTATGTTGAAAATATTTATGCCATTTTATTTGAAAAACATTTATTATGCCTCACAGAGCTTACAAGAAAAAAGTCTTACTTGGAAGGCAGGATCCTTTCAAGTTGTATCATGAATTCTTTGGTCAGAAACAGTTGGTGAATTTAGCTACACTGACTCAAGGTTGGCTAAGCCATTTTTCCCATTCAAGTGATGTCTAGCAATAGCACAAGATGTGTCCATATCCTGTTCTCAGCTCAAAAATGACACCATTACCTGGATTCTGCTGCTTTTCTTCCATGAAAGTTTTATTTCTCATTCAAAGATACAAACTTTTAAAAAAGAAATATCACAAGGGCTATGAAGTGAATCACTACTGTCTTATTTTCTCAAAAGAATAAATAAATCTATCTGAATTTTTCTCTGATCATCTGACTTCCTACTATGACATATTCTATTTACTTAATCACCATGAATATCTGAAGAAAAAGTTTCCCTGATTCCCTCCTTTAAAATAATGACACAGATGGCTAATCTTGAAATACTCTTTTATTATGTGTGGATTTATCTTTTTGTTCCCAATGTTCTCTACTGCATTTCTTTAAACAGCCTTTCCGGATGTGACACGGGGCATCTCATCTGTAAAGATACTGGTTCAAAGTCTAACTCAAGCTAAAAATGAAGACAAGTGTGGGTCTTGTTTAATTCCTAATTTCTGTCCACCAGCAAACTAACATGTAAATTAGGATATTAACACAGTTTGTTCAAATAATGCTAAAGGCTGTCACATGCAGAACTAGCCCAAGGTGCGAACGACAATGTCTGTTAATAGCAACTAGCAAAATTCCAGTTTAAATGTTAGTTCCTCTTCTACAAGCATATGACTCATTTTTCTTAAAGTATGGTAAGGGATTAAGTGAGATCAACACAAACAATCACTTTCTATCACTTTGCAAGGGTATTTTCAAAATGAATCATGAAACATGATTAAAGTAATGTAGTTTTTGTTTCATTAATTTTTTTTAACATTTATTGTTAGCCGGTGAAGTATTAAGCCCTATACTACCTTCATTCAATTAACTAATATTATTGAGTAGTTACTCTTGGTATTCAGTGATAAAAAGATGAATATATTACAGTTTCTAACTACAAGAGTCTAGTAAAACATGGATATCTTTTTTTTGAAGAACTACCACAGAGCAAATGAACAGTTTCATCTTAAGTGTAATAAAATCTTTCAGATAATTCTGATGAAAAGACACTCTTATTCTTAGAGTAACACTGGTTTTGGGTTAATTTTTTTTTTTTTTTAGAAATACTGCAGGCAAATACTCAAATAGTGTAGATTCCTATTGTAAGATTTTAACAATACAGAAATATACAGAGAATAAATTGTGAAATCTCAACTTTTTCAGCCCCTGCAGTCTCGCAATCCTAGCTGCAACCACTGACAACAGACCTGGCACACTGGCTTTAAAATGAGAGTGGTCATGCCAGAGTTCAGAAATTAGCAACATCTTACAAGTGTCTTCTCACTACTGTAATTTGACTGCTCTAAAATTGACCTAGGCTGATCACTGATTTTTAAATTCTTATCTAAATAAAAAGGAATTTTAATTGGAGAAAACGAATTTTAAAATAATGAAAACCAAAACAAACAAACCAGGCAAAAATCTATATCCACAGTATGTACAATCATAAGAAAAAAAAAACCCTACAGATTTTAGAGTTTCAATTTTAGGATAAGAACGTGTTGAAAATTTGAAATTTTAAAAAGTGGATTATCCAAAGTTATAATCTTAGCTTTGAATTTAGATTACATAAACGAAACAGTCATTAGAGTGAATGGGCAACCAACAGAATGGGAAAAAATTTTTGCAATCTACCCATCTGTCAAAGGTCTAATATCCAGAATCTACAAAGAACTGAAACAGATTTATAAGAAAAAAACAAACCCATTCAAAAGTGAGTGAAGGACATGAACAGATACTTTTCAAAAGAAGACATATATGAAGCCAACAAACATATGAAAAAATGCTCATCATAACTGGTCATTAGAGAAATGCAAATCAAAACCACATCGAGAAACCATCTCACGCCAGTTAGAATGGCGATCATTAAAAAATCTGGAGACAACAGATGCTGGAAAGGATGTGGAAAAATAGAAACACTTTTACATGGATGAACCTGGAAGCCATAATTCTCAGCAAACTGACACAAGAACAGAAAATCAAACACCGCATGTTCTCCTTCATAGGTGGGTGTTGAACAATGAGAACACATGGACACAGGGAGGGGAGCATCACACACTGAGGTCTGGGGGGGGGACTACGGGAGGGACAGTGGGGGTTGGGGAGTTGGGGAGGGATAACATGGGGAGAAATGCCAGATATAGGTGATGGGTAGATGGAGCCAGCAAAGCACATTGCCATGTATGTCCCTATGCAACAATCTTGCATAATCTGCACACGTACCCCAGAACCTAAAGTACAATAAAAAAATATAAAAAAAGAGAGAATAGTTATATAAATAAATAAGTAAAAATTTAGATTACATATAAAAATACTATCATTTGGAAATATGATCATGCATGTTTGTTCAAGTCTGCAGTAAATAACACATAGAAAGAAATAAACTTTAGAAAAAAAGTAACAAAATAGCTTCCTATTTTAAGTAAATTTTGGTTGAAAAATTTGTATTTGTATCTCATTTCACTTTTATTAAAGTATAACAATAATTGAAAGCTCATAATAAGTAGCTTGCTGTAATGGTATTATATGTCTACTTAGCTATGCCATGGTACTCAGATACTTAATGAAACATTATTCTAGATATTTCTTTGAAGGTTTTGGATGGAATTAACATTTAAATCAACAAGGTTTGAGTAAAGCACATTGCCTTCCATAATGTAAGTGGGCCTCATCCAATCAGATGAAGGATGACAAGACTTAGATGAAAATGACAACTCACCTGAGAGCGACGGAACTCTGCCAACAGGCTGCCTTCAGACTGGAATTGCAACTCTTTCCTACATCTCCTGCCTGCTGTTCTACCCTGCAGATTTTGGTCTTGGCAGCCCCTACAATATTGTGAGACAATTCCGTAAAACCTTTCTCTCTCTATGGACTTCCTAGGAAATATGAAATAAATGAAAATACTATTGTTTCTACTCTAAATTGTAAACGTTATATTCATTCAATATAATTGTGTAGGAATATAGTTAAAATGTTGATGTTATTATGAAATATTTTAAAATCTGCATATATCCTAATGTGTGCAGGAATATAGGACACAGGTAGAGTAAATCGACTTATCAACAGATAAAAATGAAAAAATTATAAAGGCAGTCTGTCGGCAGAATAGAGAATCAATCTATCAATAAATATTACTACTAGGTTGTCCAGTCTAACAATCTCTGCCTTTCAATGATTTGACTATTTACATTTAGTGCAATTACTCATATGGCTTGGAGTTTCTTGTAGATTCTGGATAGTAGTATTTTGTCAGATGCATACTTTGAAATTTTCTCAAAAATGGCCAAATAGGAATAGCTCCTACCTGCAGGCCCCAGTGTGGGTGATGCAGAAGACAGGTGATATCCACATTTCCAACTGAGGTAACAAGTTCATCTCATTGGGACTGGTTAGACAGTGGGTGCAGCCCAAGGCAAGCTGAAGCAGGGTGAGGCAAGTGCAAGGGGCCAGAAAACTCCCTCTCCTAGTGAAGGGAAACCATTAGGGACTTTTCCCCACACTATGGCACTGTGGCTCAGATACTGTGCTTTTCTCATGGACTTCACAACCCACAGACCACCAGGAGATTCCCTCTGGTGCCTACAACACCAGCACCCAGGTTTCCAACACAAAACTGGGTGGCCATTTTAGCTGCAGCAATTTTTTTTCTCATCCCCCAGTGGCACCTGGAACGCCAGCAAGACAGAACCGCTCATTCCCCTGAAAAAGGAGGCTGAAGCCAGGGAGCCAAGTGATCTTGCTCAGCGGGTCCCACCCCCATGAAGACAGCAAGCTAAGATCCACTGTCTTGAAATTCTTGCAGCCTGCACAGCAGTCTGAGCACAACCTGAGACATTCGAGCTTGGTGGGGGGTAGAAGCATCCACCACTGCTGAGGTCAGATAGGTGTAAACCTTGCCTGTGTAAACAGAGTCACTCGGGAGTTCGCAAGGCAACTGGGCAGAGCCCACGGCAGCTCAGCAAGGCCTCTGCAGGCACACTGATACTAGACTCCCTTCTTGCTGGGCAGAGCACCTCTGAGAAAAGGCAGCAGCCTGTCAGGAACTTATAAACAAAGCCCCCATCCTCCTGGGACACAGCACCTGGGAAAAGAAGCGGCTGTGGGTTCAGCTTCAGCAGACCTAAACGTCCCTGCCTGGCACCTCTAAAGGGAGCAACGGATCTTCCAGCACAGGGCTTGAGCTCTGATAGGGACAGACTGCCTTCTCAAGTTGCTCTCTGATCCCTATGTATCCTGACTGAGAGAAACCTCATACAGGAGAGCTATGGCTGACATCCTCTGGTAGTTTATGGAACAAAGCTACCAGAGGAAAGAACAGGTAGTAATCTTTGCTTTTCTGCAGCCCCTGCAGGTGACTCTCAGGCAAGCAGGGTCTGAAGTGGAACTCCAACAAACTCCAGCAGACCTGCAGCAGAAGGGGCTGACTGTTAGAAGGAAAACTAACAAAGAGAAAGAAATAGTTTCAACAGAAGGATGTCCTTCTGTTGAACTGATCAACAGAAAGCACATCTACTCAGAGACCCCATCCAATGTCACCAACTTCAAAGACCAAAGGTAGATAAATCCATGAAGACGGGAAGAAACCAGTGCAAAAAGGCTGAAATCTCCAAAAACCAAAACGCCTCTTCTCCTCCAGGGGATCATAACTCCTCACCAGCAAGGGAACAAAACTGGATGGAGAATGAATTTGATGAATTGATAGAAGTAGGCTTCAGAAGATG